GGAGCCTAGATGGCGCCACTGCACTCCAGCCTGGGCAACAGGGTGAGACTCTGTCTCAAAAATATAAATAAATAAAAATTAAACTTTAAAAAGTGTCACATATCCAGAAAGGTCAAGAAAAACAGTCATAAATTGTCCGTTGTACTTACATGGAAGGTTATTCATTATCTTGGTGAGAACAGCTTCTAAATAGAGATGAGAATAGATATTAAAGTAGATTGAGACTGAATGGAAAGGGTAGAACAAGAGACAGAGTATACCTAACAGCCTGATTAGCCTCCTTTCTATTCAACACACCAATTAGTCACTCTCCTACCTCCAGGTATGTACATTGCTCTTCTCTCTTCGTGGAACAGTTTCCTCCAAGTATCTACATGACTTGCTCCTTGGCCCTCTCCAGGTCCACATCATTTGAGAAGGCCTTCCCTGAATATGCTTTTTAAATTGCATACATCCCCACCCCACTACCTTGGTGCCCAGTTCATCCATCCTTCCCTATTTTATTTTTCTCTGTAGCACTTATTCCCTCCTAATATATAATTTTCTTACTTGGTGTATTTATTGTTTTTGTTTTTCCACTAGAAACAAAGCACTATGGCAGAAGGAATTTTCAGATGTTTCGTTCTTAGGTCCAATTCATTGCTGTATGTCTAGCACCTACAATTGTAACGGCAGCATTGTGATGCTCAGCAAATATTTGTTAAATTAAAAAATTCAGGAGACTTGGCTGTTATGGCAAGAAGAAGTAGCAGTAGCTAGAGGAGAATGTGAAGGAGAGCGCTTCCTAACAGTAGCGTAAACTTGAGCATATTTAAATGGACTATGGGAAGGAAATCAGAGTAGGAGCAGCCCCACATCTCTTCATTCAAATAAAATTTTTAAGCACACTCTGTGGGCCAGAGAATTTTCTAGGCATTTGAAATACGCTTGTGAACAAGAACAAAGCCACTCTTTATAATCTTATAATCCAGAAGAATATGGAATGATTGATGATTGAATTCTTTTAAGAGATAGGAGAATAAGGGTGAGAGATTGACTTTAAATATTAGTAAAGACAGTCTTTCATTATGGAGAGAAATATATTCTGGGTTAAATAGGTTTTCTGGTGTTTTAAAGTATAACCCAGATACTTTTATCTGAACTTAACACAAAGCAGAAACTCCAGATAAGAACATGTCGTGAACCTGAAGCCCTGTATTATAATAGCTGGCAGAACCACTCCCAGTATTCTTAGATTTGGCATTGGCAGCATTTCCTTTCTTTTCCTAAAGTACTAACTCTACTACTCTCCTAAGAAAAGTATTTCACATCTCGTCTCTACTCAGATCGCCACCTTTTCCTTATTCTTGTACTTAGCTAATGGCCTTGCTTCCTAAAAATCAGAAGAGAACATCTATTTTCTTTCACCACCGTAGCTACTAACTTGTCTACATCAGAGTAGAGTATCACAAAAGCTGGGGGAGGAGAGTATTTCAAGAAAGAGAAAGTGATTAAAAGTGCCAAATATTGCTGGGCGTGGTGGCTCATGCCTGTAATCCCAGCACTTTGGAAGGCTGAGGGGGGCAGATCACAAGGTCAGGGGATCAAGACCATCCTGGCTAACATGGAGAAACCCCGTCTCTACTAAAAATACAAAAAATTAGCCGGGCCTGGTGGTGGGCGCCTGTAGTCCCAGCTACTTGGGAGGCTGAGGCAGGAGAATGGCGCGAACCTGGGAGGCGGAGCTTGCAGTGAGCCGAGATCAGGCCACTGCACTTCAGCCTGGGCGACAGAGTGAGACTCTGTCTCAAAAAAAAAAAAAGTGCCAAATATTCAGAAAGGTCACCAAAAAGTCATAAATTGTCCATTGTATTTATTTTGAAGGTTACTCATTATCTTGGTGAGAACAGCTTCTAAGTAGAGAATAGTACCTATAAACCCTGCCTTCCTTCTGATGATGTAAATGGACAAGAGCATTAGTTCTTATCTAATGGCTAATCCCATCTCTTCCTGCCTACTTAAGAGTATGACTTTGGCCGAGTTTGGTGGCTCATGCCCGTAATCTCAGCAATTTGGGAGGCCCAGGCGGGTGGATCACTTGGATTAAGAGTTCGCTACTAGCCTGGCTAACGTGGTGAAACCCCATCTCTACTAAAAATGCAAAAATTAGCCAGACGTGGTCGCACATGCCGGTAGTCCCAGCTACTTGGGAGGCTGAGGCAGGAGAATCACTTGAACCTGGGAGGGGAAGGTTGCAGTGTGGCGAGATCTCGCCATTGCACTTCAGCCTGGGAGACAGACTGAGTCTCAAGTCTAAAAAAAAAAAAAAAAGAATATTATGACTCCGACAATTCTCTTATCTTTTCTACATCAATTTTTACCTTTCTGTAGTCATTGTCATTGTTATGTAAACATATTTAGATATCTCTTTTAAAAACAACCCTCTTACACCGGGCATGGTGGCTCATGCCTATAATCCTAGCACTTTGGGAGGCCAAGGTGGGCAGATCCCCTGAGGTCAGGAGTTCAAGACCAGCCTGACCAACATGGAGAAACCCCATATGTACTAAAAATACAAAATTAGCCGGGCATGGTGGCGCATGCTTGTAATCCCAGCTACTCGGGAGACTGAGGCAGGGGAATTGCTTGAACCTAGGAGGTGGCGTTTGCAGTGAGCCAAGATCGCACCATTGCACTCCAGCCTGGGCAACAAGAGCAAAACTGCGTCTTTTAACTACATTATCTACATGGTAGCTACCATCCCACTTTTCTTTTTTTTATAGCCAGCTTACTTGAAAAGTAACACATCAGGTACCTTCCCCCATCTTCTTCTATTCTCTCTTGAGCTCACTCCAGTCATACTTTTGCATTCATCATGCTAACAAAACAACTCTTCTCAAGGTCAGTGGCATCTTCCTAATAGTGACTTCTCAGTTCTCACCTTATTTCATAGCAGCATTTGACTTAGTTGATTACTCTCTTGAGAAAATGTCTTCTTTTGACTTCTGTGACACCATACGCTGTTTTTTCCTTATTGAACTGGCTACTCTTTCTCAACCTCCTTTGTTCCTTTTTCCCTTCTAATTGCTGAGACCCTTAAGAGTTTGGGGTGCTCAAGGGATTACTCCCTGCTTGTTCTCATCCAGCCTTGTGGCTTTAAATGGTGTCAGAGTCCAAGTACATTCTCCCTTGAATTCCAGACTTATGTATTCAGCTGTCTCATTGACATCTCTGCTTGAGTGTTAAGCACCCCACATTTAAAGTGTCCAGAAAAAATTCCTGATTCCCTCACTGTGCAAACTGCTCCTCCCTATCTTCCTCATTTCAGTCCTGAACAACTCTATTATTCCCAGGTGTTTAAGTGAAAAATTTAGAGTCATCCTAGACTCTTCTTTTTTTCTTGCACTCTAAATGCAATCCACCAACAAATTTTCCCAGTGTTCACTAAAAATTATATATAGACTCTAATCACTTCTCACTACTTGTTCCATTTACTGACCTGGTCCAAACTGCCATCATCTCCAATCTTGATTATTTCAGTAGCCTGCTAACTGGTATCTCAACTTCTGCCATTGTCCCCCTACTGTCTGATCTTAATACAGCAGCCAGAATGATCTTTCTAAAACATCAGAGTACCAGAATAAAAGTCAAAGTCCTTGTAATGCCTTGGAAAGCCTTACAATATCTGTTGTTCTCTTCTCCCTACTTTTCTTCTAATGTCGTCTTAGCAGAGAGGCCTCCTTGATCACCCTGTAATAAAAGTGATCACATTTGTAACTTTCCATATTTTATCTTGTATTATTCTCTGTGACTTACTATAGAGCACTTGTTCATTTTTTAAATTGCCTGTACGGCCCCACTAATACATGCTCCCTAAGCACAGGAACTTTGTTACTGCTGTATTTATTTATTTATTTTTGAGATGGAGTCTCGCACTGTCACCTCAGCCTCCCAAGTAGCTGGGATTACAGGCACACACCACCACACCAGGCTAATTTTTTTGTATTTTTAGTAGAGATGAGGTTTCACTATGTTGGCCAGACTAGTCTCGAACTCCTGACCTCATGATCCGCCCACCTCAGCCTCCCAAAGTGCTGGGATTACAGGCATGAGCCACTGTGCCCAGGCTGCTGTATCTCTTAATTCCTAGAACAGCATGATGCATAGTAAACATAGTGTAGTACTTAATAAACCTTCAAATAGTTGTTAAGTGAATGAATGAATTTCCTGTGTGTGTGCGTGTGTGTGTGTGTGTTTACTATATGTCTCCCTCTGTCCCTCTTGAGGCTTGAGGCAGAAAGTTTGAATTGTAATACTCAATAGAAAATAGGAGGTGGACGTTACTCATTCAGAACATATTTATTGAGCACCTGCTCTGTTCAGGGACTACAGTAGTGACTAAGAGAGCTTATCCAAGAGAGGCTCTTCTGGAAGAGTAGGCAAACTGGAGTTACCTCATCTTGGTCTGAATGTCAATTCTGAAATGTTTTAGTATCATTTCCAGGGAGTGTTCTCAAATTAGTTTGTAGTGATTTGCAAATCTCTTAGAAGTTTTCATAATCTCATTGAATTTTGGAGCTGGAAGTGACTAGTTTAACCATCTCATTTTACAGATTTGATGAAACTGAACTACAGGAATTGTAAGGGATTTGCACTTTGTGCACATTGAGTGTCTCTACTCAATTAGTTAATGACAAAACAGAAATAAAGGTCTGGGTCTAGCCTGCTGATTTACAAGTCGATGACTTTTCCACTATGCCATGCTGCCTTCCATTCCAAACCCACAAGAAATTTCTTTTCAAGAACAGACTATTTGCTGTTGCTTTATTACCTTTTTTAGTTAAGCACAATATCAGATAGAAAACTAAATAGTTCTTTTATAATTTTTCAACATGTGAGAGGTTAAATTCATTACTTTTATAGAAAGTTTGCAATAAATTTATTTTAAGCAATAAAACTTTTTATCATTTAAAGTTAATTGTGTTTTTAAGAATATGATTAAGTTGGAAGAATGAACTGAGTTTGTTTACATCAATTTCTCTTAAAAAATTGTTGCAGAGAAACTCTTGCTACTCAGTTGGATCTAGCAGAAACAAAAGCTGAGTCTGAGCAGTTGGCTCGAGGCCTTCTGGAAGAACAGTATTTTGAATTGACTCAAGAAAGCAAGAAAGCTGCTTCAAGAAATAGACAAGAGATTACAGATAAAGATCACACTGTTAGTCGGGTAAGTGTGATAGTCAGTTGAGTCATATAAAATTTATTTAAATCACAGTAGGTCACATCCTAAAGTATTAGGGTAAGTGTGTGTCCAAGTGTATTTACTTCTATGTTATACGTAGTGGTCATTCTGTACTCAGGTATAAAATAGTTTGTATAATACCAAACATTTGTTAATTATTGAAATTCTTGTTCAAGATATTGGGCTTTTGTTTGTATAGGTACAGAACCAATGCAATATTGGGCTGTTTTTCTTTCTGGCTGTAGATCTTATTAGTTATATTTCATATGAAGAAATGGCTTAGCTTAAATTCATTTGTTGTTCTCTTAATACATTGCAACTGATTTTTTATGGGCCAGAATTCTATGAAATATAGAGAAACCATTTTGGAATGAGGAATTCTTGGGATAATATATAAATCCATTATAAGAAAACCAATACTCTAAACAATTACCTATTCCTGAAGTTTATACTATAGTCTATATAGAATCATGGGACTAAAAAGAGGAGTTAGATTTTTCTTCTAAAGCCACTATCAATCGCTCTGGGTTCCAGTTTTGCCTCTAAGAAGTTATATGGTCTTGGCAAAGTTGGCTTTAACTTCTCTAAGCCTCAGATTTCTCATCTGTAAAATAGAAATAGTAATACCTCTTCCACGTGATTGTTACGAGGATTAAATAAGAGAGTAGACATAGAATGATTAATATAACATATAACATAGTAATGATTATACATTACTAAAAGTAATCTATAAATAAATGTTTTTATTGTTTGCATCATCAATATTCAGATAAAGATACTGAAGTCCAGAAAAATTATGACTTGCTCAGGGTCACATACTAGGTTAATCGCAGAGCTGGAACTAAATACACATTTCTTAGTTTGCAATCTAGTTATCTTGCCATTACATATGCCTCCCTTTCGTTCATATATATATATCTATATGCATAAACTGAAATAATTTTTGGAAGCTGTTAACTACTTTTAAATATTTTTGATGTAATTATATCTACATATTTTAAGCTGGAAACCAGACATTTGCTGTAGTTGAGCAGTGTCTGACTTTTCTTTATCTAGCAGTGTATTTAAAGGTTATTGCCTGAAATATGAGAATAGCAAAGAGGCTGGAGCTTAAACTTTTGTGTGCTTTGTTCAGCTTGAAGAAACAAACAGCATGCTAACCAAAGATATGGAAATATTAAGAAGAGAGAACGAAGAGCTAACAGAGAAAATGAAGAAGGCAGAGGAAGGTATGTAGAATTTTTTAAAAATCATCGTGTTAAATCAAATTCAGTGATTTACCTTTACCTATGTTGTGTTAGGTTTCTAAGATACCTGTTTTCATATATTAAGTGACTTCTGTAGCCTTAAGAATTATCTTAATGAAGTTACTGAAAGTTAATATGTAGTGTATACTCATTTGAATAATTAAGGACATAGTTTGAGATGCAGAAATTAATACCATACAATAACATTTAATATAATTTGTTGACAGAATATAAATTGGAGAAGGAGGAGGAGATCAGTAATCTTAAGGCTGCCTTTGAAAAGAATATCAACACGGAGCGAACCCTTAAAACACAGGTATACATGCTTTCAATCTTTTCCACGTGTTCATTTTTGAGTTAATCGTTGCTCTTTATGCACTTTTTCCTAAAACCAAAGCTTATAAGGTTCAAACTTTTCATCAGAACAAATAACGTAAATTCTCTCCCTGCTAACTATAAAAAACTTACTTGTGAAATAGGATTTCCACGCCAGGCGCGGTGGCTCATGCCTGTAATCCCAGCACTTTAGGAGGCTGAGGCCAGCAGATCACTTAAGGCCAGGAGTTCGAGAGCAGCCTGGCTGACATGGCGAAACCCCAGTCTCTACTAAAAATACAAAAATTAGCCGGGCATGGTGGTGTGCTCCAGTAATACCAGCTACTCAGGCAGCTGAGGCACGAGAATTGCTTGAACCCAGGAGGCAGAGGTTGCAGTGAGTAAAGATCATGCCACTGCATGCCAGCCTGGGTGACAGAGCAAGACTCGGTCTCAAAAAAAAAAAAGAATAGGATTTCAGTTAAGAAAGCTAACTTACCTAGTAATATTGTATAGTTGTAGAAGATAAGAGTATGTGGCCAAGGCATAGAAGCTTTATTTGCTAGTAAATCCAACATCAGAGTAGGATTAACATACTCTTGATTCAGTACTGGGTTGTAAAGTTAACCAAGGAAAGGCTCCTGGTTCTTACATTTGAGGAGTGTGATAAATCAGTGTTAGTTACTTGTGCTACCAGTTATCATGTCTCAACCGTCATTAAGTTGTCCGAATTTTCATACACACAAAAAGTCCTGCTTCCTTATTTTGAAGAAAAAAATACATTTTAGTATTAAATTGGATGACTACACTATTTATCTTTATTAATATTTTAATAGGCTGTTAACAAGTTGGCAGAAATAATGAATCGAAAAGATTTTAAAATTGATAGAAAGAAAGCTAATACACAAGATTTGAGAAAGAAAGAAAAGGAAAATCGAAAGCTACAACTGGAACTCAACCAAGAAAGAGAGAAATTCAACCAGATGGTAGTGAAACATCAGAAGGAGCTGAATGACATGCAAGCGGTAAGGTTTGTGTGTGTGTATGGACACGAGTGTGAAGGATTATTTTCTTAAATTATTTCTGTATATACTTGTTATCTGTTTATGTTGTTTAGATTGGGAACAATCAAGGGTTCCGCCTGTTTGGTTTCAGACTGTAATTGGGATATGGCTGTTTTAATATTAACTGTAATTGGGGTAGAGGTTTTGAAGTATTGTAGCTTATTTATTTTCTCTAGTCAAGAGTCACTTTTTTGAAATCAAAATAACAAGCTTAATTTTTTGATACCTCTTGGCTTGTTAATAGAACAAAATTGAGAACCTGGTCTCAGGCACTTAGATCTAAGCTTTGTAGCTCCATCAATTATGGTTTTCTGAAGTTTTCTGTACCTTTAAAGCTACTTCATTTGGAGCCAGAAAAGCATTTTCTATTGTAACTTTTTTTTTTGATGGCTTATGTTTGAAAACAAAAACAAAAACTCTTTTTAAGGCAAGTAGAAAAGGAATTTGTCTGAGCAATGTATTACTGAGGACTTGACATTTCTGTAGTGTATCAAAATCTGTGGTAGCAAACATTCATGAAGTTTACTGTACATTTTTAGTATTAGCAATTTAAATTACTTTATTATATTTCAATTATGTTGGAAATTGTTTTAGCTTGATTATATATTATCTTGATACTTTTCAAAATTAGCAATTGGTAGAAGAATGTGCACATAGGAATGAGCTTCAGATGCAGTTGGCCAGCAAAGAGAGTGATATTGAGCAATTGCGTGCTAAACTTTTGGACCTCTCGGATTCTACAAGTGTTGCTAGTTTTCCTAGTGCTGATGAAACTGATGGAAACCTCCCAGGTAAGAATAATTCTGTATCATTCAAACATGTATAAATGTCATGGAAATTAGTGTATATTTCTTTCATTTGGGTTTCTACCTCCTTGTCATTCTATCCATGGATTCCTAAGAAGGAATTCTTATTTCTGATAGCCAAGGCCTGATGATGATTATACACTTGGTGTATTTTATGGAGTACAGCAGTTGTAAGCAATCTTAGGCTATTTAAATAGACCTAAGAAGCTTTACCTGAATAAAAACCATAAGAGGTTTATGAACCTATTTTGAGCAGCCTAAGTCCACAGTGAGAGTCAAAGCTGCTACTACACATCTCGCTATTTTTTAAAAGTTGTACATTTTTGTCAGTAATAGATCTTTAACATTTTCTGTATTCTTGTGCTAAAACTAGGAACTGTACTTTATCATCAGAATCACAGCAGCTATGTATAGAAGCCTATCTAGTGGAGTAGTGATCAACTTCAATCAGACTTTGTTAAGTTTTAAGTTTGGAGAAATAGATAAAAGGGGTTGGGCAGTGCAGTAAGAGGCCAGGGGTGTCAAATAAAGGCAGGAATGAGTGGCTAAGATTTCAGACTTTTTTCTGTGTCTTCTTTTTCCCAGTGGAGAATCAATTTAAAAATAAACACAACTTCATTCTTGGCTTAATCGTCATGTAAACTACAGTACATTTATGCACTTTACAGAGATGAGAAATACGTATACTATAAGTTCAATTTAGAAGTAAAATGAATAGGTTATCATTATTAAAACATGCATTTACATATACACAGAGTCTTAGTTCAGAGTCTTGGAAGTTTTGTATACATGGTCATAAACTTGAAAATAGATTTTAATTAGTGTATTTTCTGAATAATCCATAAATAGGAAGATATTTATGAAGCAGCATGTTTGATATTATAGGGATTCTATTTTAACAGATATTACTTGTTATTGTGACTTTGATATAAGGAACTAGATGAGTCACTCAGAAAACTTTATAGTATCTTTCTTGGTCAAGAAAGTGGGACTCAAAGTGGGAAATGAATTTAGCTCCTCTCTGTATGTCATGTGATCCCTGGCTTCATTCTTGTGTGGCTTTGCTAGGTCAAAATCATGGGAATGGAAAGGCAGTGAAGAAATATTTCTTATTTTAGTGGTCAAGGAACTCCTCTTCTTACCTATTTTTGGCTCTCTGAAACTGCCTACCTCTTGAGAAACTTGCAGGTACACATGATTCATTATTGGAGAATCGCTTTGGATTTAATAAGAACCTCTAGCTTTAGTAGTTGAACATCTTTCTAAAGTTAGACTTAATCATCACTAAGAATACAACTTTTAGAAGTGTTTGGCTACATTCTTTCAATTGTTGAACTGAATTTGTAGGTTAGATTCCCACTTCATTTACCCTGAGATACTTCTGGAGTTATTTAGTATAGGGGTTCTTTATGTATGTATGTATATATGTATATATGTACGTATGTATGTATGTATGAAACAGTCTCACTCTGTCACCCAGACTAGAGTGCAGTGGTGCGATCTTGATTCACTGTAACCTCTGCCTCCTGGGCTCAAGCGATCCTCCCACCCCAGCCTCCTGAGTAGCTGGGGCTACAGGTGTGCATCACCACACCGAGCTCATTTTTTTAACTTTTTGTGGAGATGGGATTTCACCATATTGCCCAGGCTGGTTTTGAACTCCTAAGCTCAAGCTATCCACCTGCCTTGGCCTTCCAAAGTGCTGAGATTACAGGCATGAGCCACCTGCCTGGCCGACCTTACTCTATTTAATGTCAATTCAAAATTCTGACCAATTTTATTTTTATTCCACCCATTTCTCTTTAACTATTTGTAATGCCTTATATGTACCTTAGTTTTCTTAGTATTGAGTGAAATATGTCAGAAATGGATACATTATTGGTGAATGCTAGTTAAAAGATTTGAGTTGAAAGATGAGCTGGTGGGACTGCTAATGAGGAAAGTGATGAATTTTACCCACCATCGTGGCTGATTCAGAAAGGCTAAGCTCATAGTGCCATCAGCTGGCTTCATTGGCAGACTTAGGCTGGGAATCCATTTAGATTTCAGAATCCTGACCTAATAAATTGACTTATTGAGCAAAGAGATTTTTAAATGTTTCTACTAGCTCTATTTTGAGTATATTTCTTAGAATATTAGTGTACTTTCAGGAATTTTGTTTTTAAGGTTATCAAAGTCCAAACCAAGTGGGGCAGGGAGTATTGGTGGCCATTTTCCCTTGCTAGAAAATGAGGCCAGTTAATATCTCTTTTCCTATTACTGTGTTCTTAATTTTGAGACTTTATAAAATCTCAACAGTGCTGAACCTTGACTTTCATATTGGAAGTAGAAATTAATGGATAATCTTTGTCAATATTATTTACCTCTCTGTGGGTCAGATATTTTGCTAGTAAATTGAAAATCTGTATTAAATCCACCATTTACTAGATGCTCAAAAATGGTCCCTGGCAAATAAAGTTAAGGTTTTGCAGTCATATCTAGGAAGAATTGTTAAAGAATGTTGATGTTCATTCTTAATATTAGATAGTTACATATCATTCTAGTGTCTAAAAAATGTCTTCAAGGTAATGGCTAATGATTAATTTTTACTTCAGTTTACAAAATTAATAAATGAATATACATACTAAAAAGGAGAGAACTTTGAATAGATTAAGTTTACTCCACAGTTAAAATAATGGCTTTTTGAAATATGGGTCACGTTTTTCAATTTTTTTTTAAGTAGTTGAATGGATGAACTGACACTGCAACTTTTATTCTCTTAGATTTCATCATTCAATATAAAGATTATAATTTAATTATCTTGTACATCTAGAGCACAGCCTCTATGAATCCTCAGTGGCCATTTTGTTATTAACTGGCTTAAATCTTAAATCTCCCCTCTGAAATTCCCAATTCTAAAAACCTTATTAAAAAATGTTACTCCTTCTCTGACTTATAACTCTTTGAAGTTCTTGAAGTCACCTTCATTCTCTTTTTATGTCTTTATCCTCTCTTTGGTTCTGTAGCAGGTTATGAACTACCACACAATGTAAACATAAAGATTACCCTTAGGGTTATGGATGCCTGTTGCTTAGATGACAAAAACTTTTATGTGATAACTGTTTCTTTTCTTCATTGTTTCTCTTTCCTTCTTTTGGAGCTGTTAACCTAGACATCTGAAGAGAATGTAGAAATAGATGAGGCATTAGGAAAACTTGGTATTGATACTCCAGTAATATTCATGATCTCTTATGGATTATTTGTATCATACCCTTTTCCATCCAGCTTGACCTTAGGTTATGTAACTTAAACCTGAAAATGGTGGATCGCTTGGTGTGTTTCCCAATATTTGAATCTATGAAGGTTTCTGACTTTGCCCAAATCTACAGTGATTTGAAGTTGGTATATCTGGCTTGTTGAGTGTTGACTTAATTTTCTTTTTTATATCACTTTTGAATTTAATTAAAATATTTTGAAATGGTTCTCTAGCCCTGTTTCTTTTTTTTTTTGTATTCATTTATTTGCTTGTTAGTTTATTAATAATTGACTAATTAAAAGTAGATTACTAAATAATATAGGTACTTTTTTGCAATTTACTATTTTCACTTAAAATACATTTTGGAACTCACTCCAAGGCTGTTCATAGAACTCTTTTTTTTTTTTTTCTTTTTTTTTAGAGTTTTTGGACTGATTTTTTTTATAGTCACATTTTTTTTCTTTTTTTTTCTTTTATTTTTATTTTTTATTTTTTATTATTATACTTTAAGTTCTAGGGTACATGTGCATAACGTGCAGGTTTGTTACATATGTATACTTGTGCCATGTTGGTGTGCTGCACCCATCAACTCGTCAGCACCCATCAACTCATCATTTACATCAGGTATAACTCCCAGTGCAAGCCCTGTTTCTTAAGCAGTATGTTTGTGGTATAGCTAAATAAATTAGGTTGTCTTCAGAGGTTAGTTCTGATGTTTAAATTGGCTGTATCGAGTATTGATGTAGATATAGTTAGACTATCTCTTATTAGGGTAAAGAAATTGCTGATACTGTAGTAATATACATCTAACTTCTTATAATTTAAAATTGCTCTACAAATATATTGTATAAAATTTGGAGCCAAGTTGTTTTTGTACATATGTAGAATATTATTAATGATAATCCAGACTTAGAGGTTCTCTCGGTGGGAGTTTCATTTAGTTATCTGGAGAAGCTGTTTTCTGTGCTTGTGATATAAAAGATGAAATTTACAGCATTATACCTCCAGGTCACCACTGAAGTCACAGGTAGTCCCGATTTTAGAGGAGGTCTTTATATATTTTAAAGACTGGTAAGTATATTATCTTGCAACTATGGTAGGAGTGAGGAAAGAAAACACAGGAGAAGCTAGTATTTTTTTTATTTTTATCTGTTATTATTGAGCTTAGTTCAGTTGCTTCTCTGAGGGAATTCACCAGATGGAAAAACTAAAATTTTCTCCCATGACTTTATTGTAAATTGGCAAAAACCTTCACATATTCTTGACACCTTTATTTTCATTCCGGATTTCTTCATTTAATTTATTTTCTCCCTGGGCCTCTTCATTTAATTTAAATATGAGCAAATGTAGAATTCTGGCTTATTTGACTCATAAAATTCCTTTGGTATATAAAATTTCTAAGGAACACTAAAATGACAGATAAAGCCATACCATATAACAACTTATTGAAGATATATTAAAGAAAACTGGCAGGTTAACTCACATCTAGAGACAGAAGGCATAAGTATTTTTGACATTTATTGTCACAAAGAAATAATGTGAAAGTGTAGAGTATTTTGGCATACAAAATTTTGTGTAAATGTCAAGATTTCAAAGGCTTTTATATCTTTGGTGAGGAATTACTGATACTAAACAACTTTGTATTATCAGATATTAAGACTACTTTTCATTTTCACTAATGTTCATCTTAATGTTTTCCAAACTACACTTTAAAACCAGAGCTGCAATTTCTGCCACACTAATGGGAAAATTTCTAGCAATAACTTTTTTGCTTTTATAAAATAAAACATTGGTGAATAATCAATATGTGATCAGCAGTCTTTTGTTTGTTATTTAGTATAAAACTGCCCGTTTGGTTTTTAAACTGTAACCATTAAAGTCACCAAGTGACTTTAATTGGCTAATTCAGAAGAACGAAGAATTGCAAAATAATCAACAAATGTCTGTCACGTACCTCCTCGGTGTGTCATTTGCCATGGGATATATAAAATCAAGTGTTAAGATATGGTCCTTGCTCTCACAGAACTTACCAAGGAACTACCTAACCAACAAAATAATTACTTCATGAACTAAATCGCAGCAATTAAAGCTAGGTGCTGTGGTACATGCCACTGCTCAGGAAGCTGAGGCTCAGGAGTTCGAGGCCAACCTGGACAACATAGCAAGACTTCATTTCAAAAAAAAAAGGAAAAAGAAAAATGTTGGGAGAAGAGAGAGGGATCATTTTGAACTAAAGTTATCTCATAATTTCCTCCATTTTAACAATTTATATGAAGAGGAATAACACAAGCAAAGGAGTGGAGACATTAAGTACCTGGTGGGAGTAGAGGGAAAAAATATTTCCCACAATTCAGTCAACTGCAAAGCTTGTTTGGGAACAGAATAGTGTTGTGCTCTAGAAACATAAGCTCAGAAGTTAGACTGTCAGGATTTAAAACCATAGAGCTTTGATAGATACTGATAGAGTTGCCTTGCTCAAGTCAGTTTACCCTGCTAAGCCTTAGTCTCTTCTTTTGTAAGTGAAAGATGACAGTAGAACCTAATTCCAAATTCCTAGGAATATCCTGTATTCATGGACTTATACATAGGTTAAATATGAGATATTATAAAGCATGTAGCAAATAATAAATTTGTAAATAAATCAATAAATCAGTAAATGTTACCTATTGTTAACTGTTGCTGTAAGACTGAGTTTATAGCTTGTAAGTTACATGAAGGGGGACAATATATATTCCCCTTAGGATTATCATTTGAGTGATAGTATAATCTCATATTTTAGTGTCATACTTTGAAATTGGTTATTTTTCTATTCTTTTGTGTTTCAAATATAAGGTAGATATAGAAAATAGTTAAATTGAATGGATTTTCTTATTTCCAACCTAATCTAAAATAACCATTTCTAATGGAGTTGTCTTTATCCTCCAGATATTTCTAGTAAACATTAGTTATATATAAACAATAGTGATAATTATTATAGAATGCCTTGATCAAATAGTCAAGGAATTCCTGGTATGCACGTACTAGTTGAAATAATGACGGTAGACCAAATGGATTCTGTGTTTTTACTGTTTATCAAATTGTGACATCACAAACTTAAGAGGCTTTAAAACTCTTTAGTTTGAGTAGAATTGTAATTGGACTTACCACTAGAGTTAAGTGCTCCCTTCAACCAAATTTGGACGATTTTATTGAAATTGTTACAAATTCAAATTGAAGTTGTTTTACCAAAAAGCTTAATCAGAATATTGTACTGAGAAAACAAATAAAATACTTGTCTCTTATTCTTTATATCTAGTTGATTCTGCCTGCATTCCTTATTTATTTATCTTCTATTCTTGTCTTCTGTGAGTAATAGGACACTTCTATACTTTTGCTTGCTCTTGTGTAAATCATGGCTCTGATTTGTTCCACTTGCTGCATAATGTTTTTCTTTCTTTTTTTTTTTTTTTGCTGATTATTTTTATATGAATGTTAAATGATAAAGTCTTCTACATCATATCCCATTTAAGCTGCAATCCATTCCAGTCTTGCCTGGCTCTTAAGGGTATTGTTACTTCATACTTTTGTAATTGAGTACTAAATGTCAAATTGTATGGGAAAAGTGGCTTGAAATTTTTTTCTGCAATATTTGTATGGCCATTAAAGTTGATTTGTGTGATTGAAGCATGGAAGAGCAAATTATAGCACTTATTCATTTAGTTGTGTTCAGTTGCTTGTTGCTGCATGCTGTCAGACAACTTTTAACTGTTTTTCTTTTGTTACAATTTAAGACTGACTAATATACATATTCTTTTTCTCCTAGAGTCAAGAATTGAAGGTTGGCTTTCAGTACCAAATAGAGGAAATATCAAACGATATGGCTGGAAGAAACAGGTACCATATACCTATTTATTTTCTAACTGGTATTTTGTTCTATATTTTACTTTGAAGCATAGAACTTATATTAGCTACTTTTTTACTTTTTGTTAGCATTGATTTTACATTAATACAATATAATCTAGATATTAGTGGCAAATATTATGCTTTTCACTTTAAACCAAGTTAATGTTGCTCTTGTAACTCTTTCCCCCTTTTTTCTTATTTCAGTATGTTGTGGTAAGCAGCAAAAAAATTTTGTTCTATAATGATGAACAAGATAAGGAGCAATCCAATCCCTCTATGGTATTGGACATAGAGTAAGTTGCCTTTGATTGAATTTTAAAGGAGTTGAGAGCTAACTTTTGATAATTATTTTTAGACTTAAAATTTATTTTATATTTTGTGTTACTTCAACACTGTTACCTACTTTTCTGTTTTTCTTAAGCATAAATGTTGACATTATATTAAATCCTTAGCAAAATGTGAGAAGAAAAAATGTATATACTTATTATTTGGAAGACAAATTTTTTATTTCAAGTGTTTAGTAGTTTAAGTTCAGAGAGCATTTCAAAACGTATAGTCAGCTGTGTATCAGTGGGTTCCATATCCACAACTGTGGACAGAAAATATTTGAAAGAGGGCCAGGTGCAGTGGCTCACACCTGTAACCCCGGCACTTTGGGAGGCCAAGGCAGGTGGATCACCTGAGGTCAGGAGTTCAAGACCAGCCTGGCCGACATGGTGAAACCCCGTCTCTACTAAAAATACAAAAATTATCTGGGCGCAGTGGCAGGCACCTGTAGTGCCAG